TCATAAAGGAGTCATTAAAAGATAAGAATACATATATCTTTCCAAACCCTTTTGTCGGATAATTTTAAAAGAATCCACCTTACAACCAAAAACGTTTACGTTTTTTCTTTCTGTTTATTGAATATACACTATAACCTCTTCCCTACATACATACATATATATATATATATATATATATATATATATATATATATATATATATATATATATATATATGTGTGTGAGTGTGTGTGTGTGTATGTTTGTGTGTGTGTGTTTGTGTGTGTGTGTGTGTGTGTTAAGGGGCCCACCCCTTTCTTATACAAGTGGACTCGACCAGTGTGTACTTGTAATGCTCCCGGTGAAAACCCGGGGGTGACAGTAGAAGTCAGCGTGATACCGTGAATGAGTGAGAGTGTGAGATAACCGCTTTGTAGGAGTCCCAGTTGCGAGCACGTGTACTCAGAAGGAAGTCGTACTTCGATAGTGAATTTCTCAGACTGTATATATATATATATATATATATATATATATATATATATATATATATAATTATCATTATTATTATTATTATTATTGATAGTAACCGCATTTCTGGATCTACTAACCGTATTACCAATTGTATTATTACATCAATACATTTATTTGATATATTTAATTCCTGCGTTTGTCATTCATTTGAGACCGGATTTCATCCCGGAATGGACAACAAATATATATATATATATATATATATATATATATATATATATATATATATATATATTTGTAATGAATTACTGGATTCTATGGATTTTTTTTTTTAATTCCGCCAAAGAACTTATATATCTTAGATCACATTTTGATTACTTTTTGTTTTAAATTTTTGGGACTCTTTTGAACTTATACATTTTGTATCAATATTTCTTTATATTTCTCGCAACAGCTCCAATCCTCCTTTTGAAAAAAATTGTAAAAATCAGGTAATTATTCACATTTCGTAAGTGATATTCGATTTCCTTACAAGGAATTTTATTACAATTAAAAAAAATCTGTTTTTGTCTTGTTTATGGGGATGAGCGCGAATGGGGATTCCACTCATCGAAATAGTTTACCCAAAACGGCCATATTTTGGGTTATGGTCAATGGCACCCAAACAGAAGTGCAATGACAGGGTTTCGCTCTGCGAGAAATTGTGAAATTTAGTAAATGTAATTTTTTTTTTTTATTTGGGGTAAATCCATATTTTGGTGTGAATTAACACAAAATATCAGACACTATTTTCTCATCCATCATATTTCTTTCATTTCAAATGTTATTTCTAAAGAGTATCTGATTTTTTATTATTAAATTTTCTCTTGTTTGCCGGTATACTTAATAAATAATGTTTGAAATGAATTAAAAGTCAGAGTATCTACACAAATACGGTTATCATCACAGATAATGTTAACAATCTTGAATTCGTATGAAATTTGGTGATTACAAACACCGTATGGAAATATATAACAGTGTAACCATGCGATATAATCACGTTTTTATGTATTTTATAATACAATATTGTTTATAATAATTCATACATTTATTTTATTTAAATGTTCATTTATTGTATATCGCTGCAACCACAAACATATTTTTATTTCTCATGCTAAAATTTGTTCCACGTTTGTAATTATCTAAATAATCAGATTCAAAAATATTCTCGATAATTAGCACTGTATGAGTCTATATATGCTTGTGTTAAGCTTTATATTCTCTAATACGTTTAACTATGTGTACGCTTATGTGTATGGTGTTGTGTATATAATTTTATAATTCTAAATGATTTCCATACAAGGTCTTCATGCTGATGCTTTTCGACTTTCATTGCCGCCATTCGCTCCCACTCGTGTTTATCTAATTGGGCATTATTACTTTTTACGATTCTGTCTTGATGCATTATCAGTGGAAGCTAAAAATCAGGATGGACAGATTGAATGATTTTCACGAGTGATGAGTCAGGCAAAAGCAATAAAACAAATAGATAAATTCAACAAAAATAATGTAATAAGCGCAGTTTAATAATAAAATGGGTAAACGTCAACAAATTAGCTGAAGCGAGGCTCGTCATTTATTCTGTTTCGTACAGAGAAAAAAAGAAATGAAATATATACGAACATTTCAGGAAGAAAATTTATTTAACTCATAGAATGTTAAGAGACATAAATATATGTTAAAGGGAAGAGGTTATAATTAACAGATCGTCAAATGTGAAATAATCAGCAATTTAAAAAAAAAGCAAATAACTGCAGAAATAGTAAAATGAATTTAATACAATATTTTAAGCAAAAGGATACAGTTTTAGTTTCATTTTTAGAAACGATATGATATATATATATATATATATATATATATATATATATATATATATATATATATATATATATATTACACACACACACACACACAACACACACACACACACACATATATATATATATATATATATATATATATATATATATATATTAAATACATGATATACACAAAAAGTTTTTGGTTGAAATTTTTTTTTTTAAATATTACACTCTATTTTCGATAATTCTGCTATAAGGGTTCCTGATTTCGCAAACTTCTTCAAACAAGTAGTAGATATTTCCAATATTATGAAGATGAAACTTTTTGTGTTTCCCTTCAAATGTCTTTCTTAGACTTGTGATATGAGATATCTATCTATTTATCTATCTATCTATCTATCTATCTATCTATCTATATATATATATATATATATATATATATATATATATATAAACATACATATATATATATATTTTATTGGTAAAATAGATACAGAAGTAATTCGTTTAAGAAAATATAGGGGATTTAAGGTACCTTTCGGTCGACACTTCTTTAGAAAAATTATGGACGGCAGTATAAAGTTAAGAAGTTGATGAGAAAAATTATTATCAACGTCAGATGTGAAAAACTATAGATTACCAAGACGTAATAAAATGGGGTAAAATTAAAAGAAGAGAAAAAAAAAAACTTATGAGCACTAAATATTTTTTAGGTTAAGCAGTAATCTCCCCTATTAGGACCAACCCGAATTTCATCTAGCACTGTCTACACAAAGCAGGATGCTGCATATTAATTATAATAGTGTCCAAGATATCTAAGCGTAGTCTCGTCCACACACACACACACACACACACACACACACACACACACACACACACACACACACACACACACACATATATATATATATATATATATATATAAAATAAGCTCTTAACATTTATTTTATTTTTAAAAGCAGTGCTCGGTTAAACAGTTGAGTATAATATTCAAATTGTTTTTTTTAAATATATAACCATTGCAACATTGACATTCTCATGTTTAAAAATTGAAACGTAAGTTCAAATTCAATTATAAAACTTAAACTTAAAATAAAAATTCCTTCTTTTACCAAGCGATGCAAGAATTACACACACACACACACACACACACACACACACACACACATATATATATATATGTGTGTGTGTGTGTGTGTGTGTGTTTAGTTTTGCGGTAGAGGGGTTTATTCAAGAAAAACTCGAAAAGTTGCCTTTTTCAATGAAAATTAAACATTATGCCATATCCAAGTATTTTACAAACAAAACAGATCCGATTGCATATCATTTGAAGCTCAATTCACTTTTATATTTCGTAAACATGCAATGAGATGAGATTACTTAAATTATAGTTTTGTCTGCGGTATATCAGTAAATTATTCTTACGTAATCATACTGAAATCATTAAGTTTTTATGTCAAAAGCTGTATATTTGAAATGAAATAAGATCATTGTAATTGTCAGAATTTTGCTTTATCGCATCAAAATGTCTAGAAGAATGTGATTTAAAAACAACAAAAGAAAAAGAGAGGTAACAAAGCGTACACGAAGATAGCTTCAGTTAGTTCAAATTTGCGAAACATACATATTTGTATATAAATTTATATTATATATGTGCGTGAAGGTGAGGCGTGTATGTGTCCATACACACACATATATGTACGCGGGCGTGTTTGTATGCGTATGAAATAGACAGGGTAGATTTGGATGCAAAGGCGCGCTCATAATAATGTACGCAAGGTAATATTGAAAATGAATCACATAGATTAAAGAATCCAGATTGCAAGTTAAAAACAAGATTGTAAAATGTGGAACTAATAAAAGTACAGGCTGCACATCAAATATAACGAAGCAGTAAAAGAAAGGACGAGAAAAAGAAAGGACAAAAGAAAAACCGAGAAAAAAAAAGGACATAAGAGAGGACGAGAAAATGAAAAACGAAAAAGAAAAGGAAGAAAAAAAACAAGAACGAAAGATAGAAGGAGAAAAAGAAAGAAGGAAAGATGGAAGGAGAAAAAGAAAGAAGGAAAGATGGAAGGAAAAAAACAAGAAAGAATGTTAGAAAGAGAAAAAAGCAAGAACGAGAAAAAGAACGAAAGAAAGAAGGAGTAAAAACAAGAATGAAAGAAAAAAGAACAACAACAACAAAAGAAAGTATAACAAGAACAAAACAAAGGAGTAAAATAGGACAAAAAGTAAAAAGGAGAAAAAAAGAGCGAAAGAAAGAAGGAAAACAATAAAGGTGAAAGAAATGAGAAAAATGAGAACGAAAGAAAGGAGAAAAACAAGAACGAGAGAAAAAAAGGAAAAAAAAAACAGTAATGCAACAAAAAAGCAAAACAAAACAAGAACGCAAGAAAAAAAAAGAAAAAAACGAAAGAAGGGAAGGAATGAATAAGAGAACGAGAAAAAAAACGATAGAAAGGAGAAAAACAAGAACGAAAAAAGGAGAAGAAAAATCAACGAACGAAAGAAACGACGTGAAAAATCAAGAACTAAAACCAGGAGAAAAAACAAGGATGAAAGAAAGAAGGGAAAAAAACTAGAACGAACAAACGAGAAAAAGAAAGGACAAAAGAAAGAAAGAAAGAAATTAAGATGAAAGATAAAAAAGACCGAAAGAACGAAGAAAAATAAGAAAGAAAGAATTAAAAAAAATAGAAGAAAGATTTAGAAAAAAAAGTGCGAAATAAAGAAAAGAAAAAAGGAAGAACAAGAGAGAGAATGAGTAAAAAGAATGAAAGAAAGAAGGAGAAAAAGAACGAGATAAACGAGGAGAAAAATCAAGAAGGAAAGAAAGTAGAAAAAACAAAAACTAGAAAAAATGGAAAAGAAATAATGAAAGAAAGAAAGAGAAAAAAAAACAAGAACGAAAGTAAGAAAGAGAAAAAAAGATGAACGAAAGAAAGAGAAATATGTTGAAGGAAAGATAAGAAAACAAGAATGAAAGAAAGAAAGAAAGAGAAAAACAAGAACGAAAGAAAGTAGAAAAAAGCAAGAACGAAAGAAAGAAGTAGAAAAAAGAACGAAAGAAACAACGAGAAAAAGAACGAGAGAAAGTACGAGAAAAATATAGAACGAAAGAAAGATCGAGAAATAAGTCCGATAGATAGGAGGAGAAATTACAAGAACGAAATCAACGAGAAACATCTAGAAGGAAATCAAGGAGAATAATCAAGAACAAAGGATAAAAAACAAGCACGAAAGAAAAGAAAGAAAGAAAAAACAAGGACGAAAGAAAGGAGTAAAAACAAGAGACAAAATAAGAAAATGAAAAAAGAAGAACGGGAGAAAGAAAGTGGAATAACAAGAATGTAAGACAAAAGGGGAAAAACTTGAATGAAATAAAAAGGAGAAACAAACAAGAACGGAAGAAAGAAAACAAGAACGAAAGAAAGAAGGAAAAAGAAGAAGGAAAGAATGATGGAGAAAAAGCGAAAAAACCAAAAGAGAAAACACAAGATCGAAAGAAAGAACGAGAGAAAGAACAAGAAAAATAAACTGACATCATATAAAAGAAACAATTAATAGAACTATTCAATAAATATAATAGAAAAATGAAACTGCGAAAAAATATATATGAAAACCGTTGGTGTGGTGTAGCAAATACCTTTAATGATAACTGCATAGTACATTAGTGTGATTGAAACGATAAAAATGATGCCAGAATATATAATAACGCACGAAAAATTAGATCAGTTATTTGCGAAATTGCCATCGCAATATACGCAATAGCTTTAAGAATGTAAATGCATCCAAGTCTATTTATTGTCTGACCTTGACACTTGTTTTGCCCATAGATAGTTTATCTAAGATGGTAATCACAATTGTAATAGTTAGCCTTTTCCTTTTAAGGAAACTTTTGGCCTTCATTGAATGAGCAGCCAGTATTTTTTTTTCATCGGTTGAAATTTATAAAATACATCTCTTAACTTTTTTTTTAGGAAGTCTTTCAACCCCAATAGATTTATCGTCCTTTCCAGTAGTGATAGACGCCTAATTCGTAACATTTTAAGTAGAAGTATGGTGGAATTTCACTATCTCCGTCATGATATTTTCTATTCTAGTTAAAGGAGTATCCATTTTAGTTGTTGGTTTGGTTGGTATTTTTCAAGTGATGTAATTTCTCTTATTCTGTATAGTTCTTTATAATTTTGTAGTGCTAGTTCATAATGTTAAAATTATGATTAAATACCCCCTGGTTATGCTTGATAAATGCCGTTTTACATCATTAATCGTTTGAATACAGCAGACAACCTTTATGTATCTGAACTATTTTGGCACCATATATGGTATCCACATGAACGTCTCGATTTGACCAGTATGTTCAAGAACAGGAATCGCGTTTTCAGGCTGATCTTTTGATTTCATGACAATTAGTTGTGGTGAGGGAGACTAATTCTGGCACTATGTTTAATTTCTTTTTCTCTCCTATTTGTTATAATTGACCCACGCGCCCGTCTTGCTCGTCCAACGTAAAAATATAAATACTGAAATAGAAAAGAAATAAGAAGTCATATTTATTTTTAAAATTTATTATTAAAATACATATTTCATACATTATTTACATTATTCGGACTATTGTCCTCATCTTTGTCGCCATATTTATCACAACGTTTCGGCCGTTTACGCTTCTACCTTCTTCACGTGGTTGGAATGTCGAAGTGAACCATTTATTTCGTTAACTGGGGTAGTGTGTTCTAGTTCCACGTGCCATGTTTAATGGATGTCAGTTATCAGTTATCTTCTATCAAGGTTATTTCTCCAATTCCCCTGTCCACTGCTTTATACAGGACACTCTTTGGATCCTGTAACAGGATCTAACCAACGCCTTTATCTACTGTGCCACGTGTCCTTAAGAGGAAATTGGGCTACGAACCCAAAGAATCCAAAATGTAATAGAATATTATATTGCATTAAGTATTTTTTATTTTTTTTTAATGATTTGTCGTTATTATATATATATATATATATATATATATATATATATATATATATATATATATATATATATATAGTTGCCTGAGGAAATTTTGCCAAAGTATCTCGAGATACGGGCTTTTTCGTGTCATAAGTTCGTTACGTTTTTCCATGCCAATGGGCGGGCAATGAAGACGGAGTTTCAGTGGAGGAAATGGCAGAAACTTTTTCAAAAATTGTTTTATTTTATTTTGTTTATTTATTTTATTTACTCAGTGTATTTATTTTGGAATGTGAATTGTATATTTTGGCTTCTAAAGATCTTTTGCTAGCCTAAACGGTGTAGCCGAAACATGGAATGAACAGTGAATTATATGTACGTATATTCATTAACGTTTCTTGTACATTTTATTTCTCATAAAAAAGGTAAAATACTGGACATTAGATTATCTTACCAGACGTGTATGAAGAGAGAGCGAGACAGACAGAGAGAGAGAGAGACCGAGAGAAAGATTTGTTACTCCTGGTAATAAATGTGGTAGTTGAAGCAGTTAAATTCTCTCTCGATTTTAGCTGTATATGAGACATTGCAACTTGTACTAAGTTAAAAAAAAAAAAAAAAAACTTTCAATAGAATATAGTCTACTGCCCTTTCTCAATTGGACATGTATCAAACACTTGCAGCAATCTAATACATAGATTTCCATTGCTTCATTTGTGTTGTTATATATGTTAAATTTTTATTACTATTTTATACTAGGGAGTGGGTGAAGAGAGGAAAAACATGTGGAAAATTACATTCCTAGATATACCTCTCCAACCACCACCACTAATACGTACGAAATCAAACGAAAATTATATAAATTTTAGTATATAAATTAAAGTTTCGGATTATCAACTCTGAAAAAATGGTTGTGAGCGAATACTGAAACACATTTTCAATATTAACTCGAGAAAGCAACGTAAGAAGTTACCTTGCATGGTAAAAAATAACAAATAATAAGCATAATAATATTAACTCTTTAGTGAAGTTTTAAAAGTATTCATTTGTAGATATGACTTTTTCCCGATACTACCACCAATGGGCACGAGGTGCCAGGAAATATATATATATATATATATATATATATATATATATATATATATATATATATATATATATATATATTAAGTTCCACTTTGTGACTATTAGCTATGAAACATTTTGGCCATGATCAAATACTGAACAAAGAAACTACAATATTAAAGAGGGCAAAGGCAGCAGTAATTTGCAATTGGGCAAAATCGTAAATGCCACGAATGTAATGAGAAATATATGAGAAACTTATATATATTTAAAAGTAGATAAAATTAATAAAATGACAAAGGGAAATCGAAGTGGGACACTTTAAGAGAAGCCTGTCAGCAACTGCAATCGTTCTAAAGAAAAGAAGACAAAAACAAATGGATGACAGTTAAAATTCTCGACATGATGAAAATGAGACAGAAACAATGCCAAGTTACGGAACAGAATATACAAGGGGCCGACACTATTTGTCAGACACTTTATTTTTTCAAGTTTTAGGTAAAACAGATAGTCTGTACTGTAGTGTAATAGCAATAACATTTAAAAACTGTTTCAATACTACGAATGGAAAAGCAGAATTCAAATTAGAAGTATTTTAATTATTTTTACAAATTTTCATATTACACAGGTGACATTATTTTTCGGACATTGCAGAAACAATGCTAATAATTTATGGCAGCACCCTTTTTTTCAATGACTTTTATCAGTCTATCTTCATAATTTTCTTACATATTGATAATAACGTTTCTTCGTGATTGTAGCAGTCTATATTTAGCATATTGTATGCGCTGCCACAGTTCAGCCTCTCTGGTTATTTCTGGCCCGTCGTAAACAAGCTCTGCAAGCATTTCCCATATGTTTTCAATTAAATTTAAGTCTGGACTTCTTGCAGGCCATTCCAGAGTAGTTATATTTGGTTAACACATCCGATTTTTCACTGATTTGGCCACATTGATGCTGCAGTTATCTTGCTGCAAAATAAAATTACTTCCCATTTGTTTTTCTCTGATTGGTAGGGCTCTCTTTTCCAAAAGCTCTCTGTAGCTCAAGCTATTTTGACGTCCTTTTAACTCTCGAGCCACAAGTTTCCATTCGGAAATACCATACCTCAAACCATGTCTCCTCCTTCTGTTCCCATCTGTCTCTTGTTGAGAATAACAGGTTCAACTTTTCTCGACCATGTACACCACCTGTCAGGTGCATCGAGCTTAAAACGTTTTTCATCAGTAAATATCACTTTCTTGAAGACGACATGGTTTGTTATCCATCTTTTGGCGCTTTCCAGCCTTGACTCCTTGTGTTTTCTCGTTAGTGAAATTACTTTCTTGATTTTAGCATACTTAAGTCCAATTTCGTATAGCTTTCTTTGTACAGTTCGAACTCCTCTTCATTCTTTATTTCTGTTCTCTTGGAAATTGTTTTTTCCGTCCTCTCTTCTTCTTCCGCTCATAGTCTGTACTTACCATATATTCAACTGTTGACCTCAGTAGCTTCATCTCAGCAGCGATCTTTTGGATGCTGAGCCCGTCTTCTCTCTTCTTTTGGACCAAACTGATGACTTCTTTTGAATGCATTCTTCTTCAGGATTTTAATACGTTTTCGCAGTGAATGGTAAAGATACTCAAATGTAATGGTCAGGGTACAATTTACCTGCTGGAAATCTGCATATTGTAGACGTTCGACGACAAAATCATTAAAAAACCTGGAATTTGTGTCATGTCCGAAAAATAGTGTCGTCTAAGTTGAAGTGAAAATCAAAAAAAAAAATGAAACCAAAGACAAACCCATCAACCAATGTTCATAGCATTAATGGACATTTACTGCTGAACTACCTACTCATCGACACAAATGCTCTCGGCAGCAAAAAACACAATTAAGCAAATTTTTCAATATGTCCCAAAAATAGTGTCGGCCCCCTGTAGGACTCCTCACAAAGGTATTCGGAACAAAAGCAAGCAGGCTAAAGAGGAATAGCTCAAGAAAAAAATGCACAGAAAGAAATACAATGTGTTTCATAGATAAATCAAGTATGCATGAAAATAAGAAAAGTAACATGAAAAAAGACATAACATGAAAAAAACATAATGACATGGAATGAATATATTGGACAGTTCTGATACAATAAAAGAGAACAACCGGCAATAGACAGAAATACTGGAGGACTAGAAACATTAAATCTGAAGTAGGATCAACTATGGCAGAATTGAACTAAACGAAAACAGTCTGACAAGACGGAATTGTAATAGATATGCTGGCAGCCATCGATGATATCGGCATTATCAAGATTACAGACTTAATCAATAAAATATAAAAAAATATACCGTAATACTTACATAGATCTATTTCCATAGCACTGACTTAAAAGCCAAGTACAAAAAAATGGGAACTTCATCGGACAATCAGTCTAATGAATCAAATAACAAATCTTATCAAAATTCTAAATCGCGCCGACCAATCAGACTAAATAAATAGGACAAGAACATTGTTAGGTTGTTAAAGACACTTGAACAAGGAATGCCATCTTTAAGCTCAGAATGATATTAGAAAGAGCAGTACCGACTCAGAAGGAGGTGTCGCTGTTTATATATATATATATATATATATGTAATTTATATATATATGTAATGTAAAAACATTAGATAACGTTCGTCACAAAGACCTGTTGGAACTGCTAGGTAACATTGACCTGTTTAGGAAGGTTAATAAATTAACGTAGATCCTATATTGGCAGCAAACCGCCTACATAAGGATAGAAAATTAGTTAAGTAAATATACAGAAATAGATCGGCGTGTTAGATGAGTATGTGTCTTCTAACCAGAAAATTTCATCCTTTACCGATAGGCGATTTTGAAATTATCAGAAGTCCTACTATGTTCATTATTGGCGGTTACAATCTTAACAACATAAGATAGACAGCACAATGTTAGGGCAGACACAGAAAAGAAGCTACATGAAGTCATACAGAAGACAGTGAAGGAACGTGAGTAATGGCATCAACATTGATAGTCTGGTTTCCATCTTCAAAATCCATCCAAGAACCTTCAAGAGAACGGGGAATAAGTTTAAAAAAGGAGAAAACAGTAGAGAGAAAAACTGGATCAGTATGTCACAACAGGAAGAAGGACCATCATTTCAACTTAGAGCTAAAGAGATCAATTAGAATATGGTCACACGATAGTCCAAGGAGCAGTGAAAATGATTTGAAAATGAAATCGTAACTGAAAACTGTGAGGCATCTTGTTACTCTAGGACAGAAAGTTAGAAGGTTAGAAAGGGCGAAATCATCTTGAACAAGCTGGAAAATGATCTTCTACACACATGACATGAGAACAATTCTACACAGAATGCGTACATAAACAGATGGAGTGACCGTATTCTTGCTCGAGACAGAAAAGAATGTCAACTCTGCCAAGGTAATTGGTTTTGCCTGAGTGTCCTCTGATAGCAAAAAATATGCCATTGATCATATTTGAGGATGAGTGACTAACAGTAATTAGTATGTTCAAATTTTGAAAAAAAGGAAAAGCCCTAGATTTTTTTCTGGATATCCTGAGGCTAGAGACAATTAAAAACCCCAACAAGATAAATAAGGCCTTCAAATTTACAGGTTTTGCCTGAGTGTCCTCTGATAGCAAAAATATGCCATTGATCATATTTGAGAAGGATGAGTGACTAACAGGAATTAGTATGTTCAAATTTTGAAAAAAAGGAAAAGCCCTAGATTTTTTTCTGGATATCCTGAGTCTAGAGACAATTAAAAACCCCAACAAGATAAATAAGGCCTTCAAATTTACATTCCAGCAAATCGAGTTCCTTGTCACACGAGCGCAGTAGTTCAAATTATTCACAGGGATGAGTTCGCGTAGAGGTTATGGGACAATGAAACTTAGACTCCTTCATCGCCTGAGTTGAAACGCTTAGACTTCAGCATCTAGTATGGAATGTACTGGTCCGAAAAAAACTCGTGAGATGCCCGACAGCAAACTTCAAGCCTTAAGAAAACCAATCAATAAACCTCTGTGGAGAATAATGATGAATAATTCATGCAAATATGGTTCTGGTGCATTCAGGGTGAGGGTTAAGGATATCATTGTCAAAGATAGAGAAGATCTTGATAACTAACAGTTTGGATTCTGCCAGAAATGTTCTTAGCAATTAGAAATATATACCGATATTGATCTTATATTTTAAATTTATTTCAAGCCTTTATAAGGTACTGATCCTTAGCTATGAAAAATTAAAGATGAACCTGTGATTTTTGTTTATGAATTCATCACGATATTCTTCTGATTAGCTTGGAGAGAATTTCTAGATTCTTTTTGTTCAAAGTAGTGTCCAATAGTGTTCTAAAAACCCCGAAAAATTACGGTAAGATGTCTTTAATCACTTCCAAGTTACAGCGGTTCGAGTTTTTATCTAACAATTGTAAAATGTAGTGGTTACAGGATTTGGACAATTTTACTGTTACACACGACACACACACACACACACACACACACACATATATATATATATATATAT